GTGCTCTATCGATTGTGGCCTCTTTGCCCGAACGTGCCAGAGACAATCGACGCTATGGCGCTTCTGTACGCAGTTACGGTTAATAAAATAATAGCTTACAAGCCGCCAAAACGCATGCGAATCCCTCTCTTATACCCTTTAAATAACGCCTAATCTCCCACAAACATTATCATGAAATACACCATTTTGTGTCGAAACCGTCAAAAATATATTTTCAAGCCAATGTCCGCCCTCTGTAGGAAAATCGATCTAATGCCTGTTCTTTAGGAGTGAAAAACGCAACGAAACCGGGCTGCGATATAAAACCTTTTTGACAGATAAGTTGACGCTCTTTGTCTCTGCCTCACTGTCAAGCGTACTTGTGTTTTCCCGCGTTTTTTGTTCTAATTAGTCAGCCCGTGCCCCTCGACATTACAGACCTTGTGCGCGGTTGCTACTGGGCTATATGCAATATTGTCGTATGTCTTTGACAATAGCTAGGTATATTTTATACCTGGTATTGTCATAATGAGAGGCCAATTTAACTCGCTAGTTAGCTCTTATCCGACTTGTGTAATTGCCTATTGTTGCAACGTGATGACCTCATTATTAAGCACTTGACGAACAAATGAGAAAACTCCAGCTATTCAGTGAACAATACATTTCCTAGAGGAAAACAAGGCGAATATAAACGTTACTATTTTGGTTATTTTTCTAGGGCCATAGACAATGCTAGAGGAATACAGATTAGCTCAAGTTCTTGAGAATAAGCTTATTCAGAAGTTTTGTATATAATAATAAATGTCGGGAATGTTTTATTCCTCTCTTTGTTCACAAAAATGTTCTTTAATCTATTAATGTGCCAGAAAAGTAAGATCAAGGGTTATAAATACAAATTTCAGCAATTTTCATCCATTGGTAGTGAAATTAATATGCTAATTTGTTTCTAGAGAGTATGCAGATTTTCTTGTTACCCATCTTCAAGTACTTAGGGTAGTTAGATAAAGCTTGGTTTTCATAAATCTTTCGATTCTAAAGCTAAGCTGTAAGTGCTACGTGAATGCTACGTGTTTTTATTAGTTTGCTACAGAATTCATGAAATATTTTACCTCACCTGTCTACACTTTCTACCTAGGTGTCTACGTAAATTATAAATCAAATTATTGATTAAACAAGGCTTTCAAAACTTTTAGATTTACATTGTGTAAGACTTTCACGGTCATCGTTCAGCATATCATTGTTTTTCGGGCTGTTCGGCCGACCTGAGCGAGAAGTGATTCTCGTCGAGTCGTTATCATGAGCGACGACATCATCAGATGTTGTTACCTCCTCGATTAATCCTTAGAGTAATCGATTGAAAAACAATGATATGCTTTCAGATTTACCTTTTATTTTTTATTGAAAGTGACCAATGTCAATTCGGGTGTAAGTATTTAATAGGGTTTTTACATTTACCTCTGACATATTGGTAAATTTAAGATATCTAATCTAATGTCTAAATGAATATTGAGAAAAACTAAAAAAAAGTTCCAGTATTGCAGAAGCAGATATAATATAAAATGCATTGTATATAAAATAATATTTGAAATAGTGCTGCCTACACAGGCAACGATCGATTATATTCATCCGTAAAATATACATAGCGATTACAGAGTATATACCTACAACTTTTTGAACATTTCTAGTGCTACACGCTTTCGTTGTTGACGTCCATCATCAGTTTGCAACAGATAAAATCAGGGTAGTAGCTATTCTATATGTTAAGGTATATAGCCATAAGCCAACCCCTGAATCCCTATTCCATTAAAATCCAAGATCTTCGAGAAATGCTTTTACGGCAATTACAATTTGTGCAGTCGTCTTAACCGGCAACCCCATGAATGGCAAATCTTGGCTCACCCTTGTATTCATGGCAACCCCGAACAATGCTCACAAATTTGTTTACAGCTTCACCCCTTAAAGGGAAAACGATTTATTTATGACTTCCTATGAAATATAGCTCGAGATTTTTCTTTTTTTTTCCTCTACTATAAAAGTTTTGCCAGTTACCTACAATGTATACACCAACATTGTATGTAACTGGCAAAACACATTTTAATATAAACTAATAACCGTGTTTTATCAGCACATATGTACTTACATAAATTAGCTGTATTTTTTATTAATTTTTTAAAATCTCGAAATCAACCTTCGTAGAATTTATAGGGGACTCTGTAGATGAATGGTTAAACGTGTTTAACCATTTACTAGAACCTCGATACCGCGATAGGTCCTAGATTCTAATTCCGGGGAAACAATAGAGTGTTTCGGTCGGGCAGAGCACAGAAGTCTGATCAACTACTTGCCTGTAAATAAAACCTATCAGTAGAAGAGACACAGAAATGTATTAGCCCCATGCCGAAAAGGATTTTACAGTAACACCCGCAATCATATTAAAAGACCCCTGGGAAACAGTTCAAGTAAAAACGTTTTCTTATCTTAAAGTACGTTGAAATGCCTACCTCAAAACACTTTTGTAAGTATAGTTAATATCTGTAAGGATCTCACGCTGATAATTGCCACCATAATATAAATCTTTGCTCTTTTTAAATTTGCGCACAGTACTCTGTAGTATGGTGGATCACTATGACAATCGCAATTAAAAGTCGAGAGAATGTAGTGGTTCGGAGCGCTAATTAGACAAAGCTCGACGGCGCAGCGCCGCATCGATCCACAGACTGTACAAAATATAACGTTGGTTACGACTGGAAAAACTTGTCTAACCCTATCGCGTGATTCGGTCTCTCTACGTAGTTATTTTGATATGTTTTGCTAGATCGCAAAATCGATATCAGATAAAATATACCACAAAATAAAATACATTTTTTGACGGTAGTTTCGGAATATACTGCGAAAAAATCTGTCTTTGTATACTTAGCTAATTGCGCTTATTCGAAAATTTTGGAGGCACAATTACACCCCGAAAATGCAATTACACCGCTCAAGTGACGTAAATTGTAACGAGACCCGGTATGAGACACGTAGCTCTGAAGAGGCCAATAGTTTTCAATTTCGCCGCCCTCACCTGGCCCTCTCGGTTAATCCACCATTTTATTAGCCTACCCTCTCTAATACCGCGCACGTGCACAGTTCTACCTTTGTTCTATCAAAATTACAAACCAGTTTCGCACGATACTAAGTCCCAAAATAATTTTATCAATTTCGAGCTTTATAACAACACGAAAAGGTGAGTTTCTGAATAAACTTGTGTAGAGATGTAGCTTTTCCGTACGCAATCTAGCGATGTTATTATTTCGTTTTGGCGGATCGTGACTGACGTATAGTATAACAAAGGCGATGTTGCCATGCGGAATAAACTGTTATACGTTATGAGAGATTATAGGGTAATCTGGGAATATTGAAGACAATAAAATGAGCTTACAAGGTTGAGAGGGGTTTGCACAAAGGTAAACGTTTTGCGATGAATTACTTCCCTTCAAACAAAAGGGAAATCAATCGTTTCTCTATTGTTTCAGGTTCTACAATTTATGAATGAAACCACAATTAAAACTCGTAAATTTTTATTAATTTTATAAATCGAAATTCATTACACCTTTTGCTGTTATAATTACAAATTCCTTTTATTAATAATACTATTATTTATAATTATTGTACCTAGTCGTAATAACGTTTCTATAGCCTAGCTAAAATAATTACATCGGTTTAAATGTGGAAAGTATAAAATAAGTTACAAACATACTTAATAAAGTTAAGCTTATTGCTATAATTCCATTTTAGACGGGTATTCCCAGTTGTAACGGGTTCGTTTCCGATGTTTTCTTTAATTTCCTACATTATATACAAGACGCATTAAAGAAATTAAGTACCTACTTTTTTGTGCAAAATCTGAATCAACATTGAATTAGCGCGTGTACCAAAGTGGTGATACAAATGAGTTAAAAAACCTAACGAAGACGAAGCTGTCCCGACAAAGATAAATAATATAAAAATATTTAACGTAATATAAAGTATTAAGTAGGCATAATATTGTTTCGTTGTACACTTTTCACCAGCTTATTTTCCTATTGATTAAATGCAAGTGGACGCACCGATTAAACGTAGAAAATATGATAAAAAGTCAAATAAAATATATGTATAATTTCTTTCATTTTGTTTGGATTTTTTAAAGATATATTTTAAGAAAGTTTTAAGAAAGAAGGGATTATAAGAAAAGTTGAATTGTTCTTAGACTCCCGACACGATGAACAGCCATAAAATTTCTCAAATACGTCTTTTTTATTTATAAGATACTTGTGTGAACATTTGTATCAAGAGAACAGTTATGAATGTATCTTTGATTTTTTTTTTGGTGAAATGGTCAGCTGATGGTGTGGACTGATCACCCGGCCTTCTATAGGGGTCCCCCGATAGAAAACAATCTTAAGATTTCAACTTTTCTTAAAACCCTCAAATGAAAAACATATTGAAATCTATATGCAAGTTACTCTTATTTTTTTATATTCATCTATGTTGGCTACTTATGTACACGTTACTATCTACACACGCACAAAACACGATCGTAAATAATAAATTATACTATACACACAACAATTACCTACTTTTATTTACAAATAGCACAAAATCGGCTTTTGATGCAAGCTGAAGTTCAACTACACGTTTTAAACAAATATTCTATGGATACGGAAAATAAAGATATCTCAAATCCTTAATAGTGCTTATCATTAACTATTTACAATACCCTAATCCGGATACGGTAGTATTTGAAGGTTCACTTTGGAAAGTCCACGAAATGTTCGCTAATGTTCTATCACTTCACTCTGGGTCGCTATCCCAACGCTTTACCAGTGACAATGTTCTTGTAAGAGACAATCGAAATAAACATTTGAAAAAATGTTGCCAACCGCTGACGAATACCACAGAAATTAGGGTTTAATAACATTACTCGATGAACTGAAGTACATACATTAATCAAAGTACATCTCCTCTTTGAACATTGTCTCGTGGTAAAGCTGTGGGAATTTCTACCAGGCCCTGCCCTGCAGAGGTAAGTAACCTGAGCACTGCTGTTGATACGCTGTGGGCTGCCGATATGAGGACACAAGGGGGTTGCTACAAGCGGCCTGTGAGGGTTGGGGCGCTGAATATCCAGAGGTCGGGGTGGCACAGTGGCTGTGCGCGGGGGACGAGGATTCACCAGACCCGCAAGGTTTCCCGTCCTTCACCAGGACGGGGACGGCAACTCGCCGCGGCGATGATGATGACTGCCAACAAAATATATCTTTAAATCCAATTTCAAGCAATAACCATAACACCGCTTCCCAAATGTCTATCTTAGGCATTTAATTTGTGGTTATTTTTGTGGGTTTTAAATATCGCTTTTTGAAACATATTTATCATATGCATATAACTTTATTTCATTCATGGGTTGGGTTATCAACAATTTTTCGTACCTAGTTACGTAGCGTTACGTAGTTTATTTGTAATGTAAAATAATAATTAGGTATAACACCATGAAGTTAAAACATGACGGACATAATATGAAACAGGTAATTCCATTCCATCATGGTCGACTATTATTATGACGACGATTTATATGTAAAATATTCTAAACAAATGAGCGTTTTTTTTTTTAATAAAACCCATCGAGAAAAGTCGTTCAAAACTGAATAGAAATAAAAAATAATTGTTGATTTATTAGTTGTTTTTTATCAGCGTTCATAAAGCTTCTAGTTTCGTCCGTTCAGTTTAATTCAATATAGGCTTCAGTTTGACATCTTTTTATTATTAATAAAAGCAACCTCCATTATAATATAAATATAAAATTAATTCACTCAAGCCGAGGAAGGCTTAAAATGAAGGGCTGTCATCATTAAAATTATACAACAAATTGTCGAGAGCCGCCCACCGGTGCTAACAATCAAAAAGTCGATCGGAGTCCCCCGCTTGCACAAATTGAGGCAATCGACGGAGGCTGGCAACACAGCCACGTGCCGAGTACAGGGGATGGGAAACACGCTTTCATTTGATTGCAAATATAATTATTTGGGATCACTTTTTAGTAATTATTATGCTGTTTGACTTGACTACTTATCTCTTACAAAATCAATTAAATCGTGGCTCACTTATCTATCCTCTTTTGTTTAGTTAAATTAAGTTTCATCTAATAGAAATAAATTTAAACGAAAAGTGTGTAAAGAGCGCTTCTTTTAATACTATCGATAGATGCAGATACAGCTCAAAAAAGATAAATTCGTAAATTGTGTAATTTACGAATTTATCTTTTTTGAAAACTTATTTCCATTCATATACTTAGATATTTACAGCTGTGTAGCTGTAAATATCTAAGTATATGGAATGGAAATAAGTTTTTATCTAAGGAAAGGTCTTTTTATTTTATTTAAAAAATCTGTGCAAATGTTTTAAGGCTCGTGTTTTCAAAATTAAGCAAAAATCGTTGTCAACTTAAGCTAGGTAATGTACATATTGTACAGAATCAGAAAAATCGATATGTATTTACAATAATAGTAACCGTGGCATGACTAGTTAACAATATTAAAATTACGGATAAGAATCCGTTATATCAAATTTACTTTTAACACAGCGTTATAAGATTGACAAAACCTAATATAACCGAGTCTGTATAAATTACCCACAGATTAAAGAAATAATCGCTCCGGCAATGCGAAGACAGGTGCGGGCCCCGTATTCCGGCGGGAGATCGCAATCAAGAGGGCAACACTGGGGCCGCTGACTGTGCGATTTTATCGTGACTTTAAATATTCATTATTCAATACCTGAACAGAGGGTGCTTTGTGTACCGATTGATATGCGTTAGAATGGAAAATGACCTGAGATTTTAAGACCCGTATGTCTTGCAAGATTCTTGTTTGAATTGAAATTTTGTGAACGACCTCTTTAAAGGTTTTTCTTTTACCGTTATATGAGAAAGTAGCGAATTTTCACTGAGCTATAATTTAATAAGGGATCATTATTTTAATATTGGCAATAAACTAACGTATTTGATTCTTTGTGATAATTTTGTTGTCTCCTATAAAAAATGTAGTAAAGGTTGATAAGAAGAATGCAATTTTTTGTGAGTTGTCTGTAATACAATGCAAATTATCAACCCACATTATGTTTATAAGTCTTCTTCAATTATAATTAGCAATGAACTGACCTGATTATGTTGATTTTGTTCAGCCATAGCCTTCTCCTTCGCCTGCCGCTTACATTTGTAGCGGTGATTTTGAAACCAGATTTTGACCTGAAACAATGTTATACTTGTAGATACTAAGAAAATACCAATAAGTGTTTAAATAATCCATCATTTACTATAAATTTTTATTCAATATAAAAAAATAACTATAATTTATTTATATTCAATATAAACGTAAACAAATATTTAGAACTCTGCGCTGACTTATCTGAATTTTTATAGAGCTTATCAATAAATAATTAAGTCCTGAATCTTCTATCAAAAGCACACCTAATCAGCTAATAGTCGAAATAGTTAATAAAGATTTTAGAAGTCATCAGTCGTGGCAAAAGGAAGGCGTATAATTATCGCGAAGGCTCTCATAAGCACAGCGGTGCCAACACTCAAACATAAAAGAAAATGGCGCGCGTCGCGAACACATTGCATCGTGAATACTGTCCGAAAGGGTTTTCATTTAAACACTTTTATATAGAACCATTTTAAATAGAAACTATAAATAGAGTGTTAATGAAGAAGTTGCGACACGAAATTTAACGTCACTTGTATAGGGAAATGAAACAAAACTTTGCTTGGCTCAATGCCAGGTTATCTAGCCCTAGTGTTAAATAGAGAAATGATTTATGTCATACAAATAAATATGCGAAATGTAAAAAGCTGAATGTAAGTGTTACCGGTTCGTTCTTCGACGTTTTGATTTATTTTCTTATGCAACAATTTTAACTAAGAACTATTGTAAGCTCCTCATACGAGTTGGCGTAACGATAAATTAAGGGAACAATTAATAACATAGAAATAACGAGTTATTTATTTATGCTAGAGGGGGACAGGCTATTTAAATATAGTAATCTGTCGATTAATTTTGGCCTTGGATGTTCGGGAATCTAACGGGAACGAAACTAAACGTAGTCGCGGCTTTTTCATTTGTGGATCCCTGGATACGTTACAAATGCAATACCTATATATTATTAGGCTTTATTGATTTACCTGCAACTACGTGATACACTTTTCATTTCTATTATCTACTCGTAAATGAAGGACGAACCAAACGAAAGAATAAAATAGAAACGTCGTACGGTGTAATTATTGTAGTGTAGGTTGAGAAATTTAAAATGTGTGAGTCGCGTTAACTCCATCTCCATTTGGCGAATGTCAACACGACTGAGCCTCTGGCCGCGTCTGACCTCTGAAATTAGCGCTAGTGCTGCAGAGAGCACGCTACAGTACTGTCAACACTCTAGCTTAATGACGAAAGAATAAACACCCCGTGTTTGTCCCAAGCGGGCAGCCTTTGTCTACGCGCACTCGAAACGCAGCAAAATATAGTTTATTTATTATTTATACAAGTTTCCTCTGTTTACCCTTCGAAATGGATGTGCGCGTCCGTTCCGTTACAAATCCGCCATTTTGTCTGATAGCTCCGTTATCATAATAAGTTATGATACTGTTATTTTTATCTGTAGAAGCTGTGGGAATGTTGGCAGCAATGATATGCGCTTTTTGTTTATGGCGTGCTTTTTAGTTATTTATAGGTAGGTGGGAGAGAGTTAATGAACGGGTCCCGGCGGCGCGTCGCTTATTGCACTCCGGCGAGGCTCGGACGCTCTCTACTCGAGTACTTTCTTTTCAATCTTCTTGTGCATAATGCTCCGTGTTTCTTTCTACGCACTCTTCAGCTGAGAGCAGCGTTCAATTATTTGTTTTAGCTCTAAATGACCGTTGTTTAGAGGAGATGGAGAGTCTATCTCGTCCTTCGGAGATCTATATCGACACCCCCGTTCTTACATTTTGTATTGTTTTGTTTTTGTTGCTAAAGGGGTTTTGTTACTAAACATACTGTGGTACGAACGTTATTAAAAGCATATGTTACACTTTATATATCTTATTTTTAACCGTGTAACGGAATGTCCGGGTAGCCAACAAACAAAAAGTATTTCCCAACATGGCGGCCACCCATCCTGACGTCGGATAAGACATGTCAAATTTGGCGCCATTATTGAAATACCAGAGATGATTTGTAAATATAGCCTTTTCATAGCTCCATGTATGGCTTTTAAAGTATTATGATATTTAATTGTTAACAGAGAGAGTTTAAATTCCCTTGTAGACAAAACTACGCGTAGGTGTTCCGTTCCTGAGAACGATGACTTGCAATAATGAAGCTACAATTATTTTAATAAAGATGCTTTCGTATTTGTTTAGCTCTTCATTTGTTGCCGAGATTTTTTAGTTCTGTTGACACTTGTATGCAGAACAATTACGTAATATGTACCTGCATTACGGGAAATGTCCCTATTAGTACCTGGTGCCTACAATTAAGAATTCAATAGTACTTAGAGTCTAGTTTTAATAAGAATATTGTATTAAAAGTGTCATTTAGTATTAAAATCTTAAAGTTTAGTATTAGAATCTTATTTAGAACTAGCTGTTTCAGCGACTCCGTCCGCTAAGAATATTTAATGTGGACATCCAAATTCGTTTTAGCGTTACCCATCGTTCTTGCAACTTAATCTTAAAAGATAGACATATAGCGTCGCAGACTTTTTTTTAGATCTTTAAAGAGGAATCATTATTTCATACATTTTTTGGGGTATCTTGAACCGTTTTTTGCACATTTCTCGCTGTATCTTCGCTGGTATTAGTCACAGGGCGATGTTTTGTAACCTATAGCCTTCCTCGATAAATGCTCTAATCAACACAAATTTTTCAAAAAGAATTTCTTCCATTCAAACCCGTAGTTCCTGAGATTAGCGCGTTCAAATGAACAAACTCTTCAGCCTTATATATTACTTAGTATAGATTTAGCAATTAATTATAATGTCTAACAGTTCCCTATACACTACTTTGCCATTCAAATTATGTAATACTGTCAACGTTTCACTATTTCTTTAGAGCTTAAAGTTATGTATTAAAAATTCTTGTTATGTTTATTTGATACGAAGTAGAAGTTAGTTCATACCTACCTTGTAGTCTACAGATTAACTAGCATGAAATGATTTAGCGAATTTATGACAGCTGATTTGTGAGGCATACGTTCGAAGCGACGCTATTAAAAGAGATATTGTGCTTGGACTTAAATAAACAGAACTGACTGTCAAACGATCAATACCTTTTATTCTAATATAAATAACGCTAAAGGATGCGATAGTAGACCTTATTGTATAGTATTAGAAGTGATCATAAATGTTAGTGTGACAATCGGGGAAATTTTGTTATTACAGTTGGGTAGTCGTAGAAGTTGTGTTAGATTTTTAATTTAAAGTTTTTTTGCGGACGTTGTAATATCGATTAGCCACAGATCACAAAAATTATGTCAATGATTATTTTTTAATCCGTAATTCAGTCAATTAAGAAGAAAAATGTAAATTTTAAAACTTATTTTAACTGTATCATTAATAAGTGAACCTGCATAATATAATTTACATATCGGACTCTACTTCGATTATATATCTACATTGTACATGTACATACAATTAATAACACCAACTTTAGCGAATAAATCATTCGATAACAAAGAAGGGTCTCCTAGTCTACGGGTAGTTAGCTACTATTAATCTATTGTCAATCTTCTAGTCAATATTTATTTATAATAAGTGTTATTAATTTTTATTATAACAATCAAACGAATAGCTACACTATCTAAAACAAAGGTTTATCACCGAAATTCACATTTACCTACACAATGCCTAAAGTTAAATATCCCACATTTAATTGTGATGTGTTTCCGACTTATTTCAATTTTGACTAAAATCGACACGGATTTATTACACTGAATATGTAGTGTGTCACTCGGACGAAATTTTGATAGTCAAGCACAAGGCATTGGTGGGATTTACCAGAGGACTAACAAAGCCACTGATATCATAAGTAGGTATAACTCAGGCCAGTCACTAGATTATATAATGTCTATCTATACAATGTTCTCTATAATACAAAGTATCTAAAACACGCCCACGGCCTCCCCTGCGTCTGAACCGTGAACACCCGTGACCCGACATTTACATAGCTATTCACGATATTAATATTTAACTAAACAAACTGATTAAACTGATATAAACACGATGTAATAACCTTTCTGTTAAACCAATATTTGCTTTGCAATTCGGCGTGTGTTATTTGAGATTAAAATTGTTATAAAACTATGCTGTGTTTCAATTACAGTGTGTAGTTATTTTTTGTAAATTTGAAACACGTTATTTTATTAATATGTCAAACTTTTTATACCAAAACTTATGAAATATTTTGCCACAAGTAGTTATCTAAGATATAGTTCCGTAATTGTTTACAATATAAAAATAATATTGGATGTCAATTGATGTACTAAAGCCAATATAATTATACATTCTATCAACAAAATCAACATTTTAAAATAAAACACAACGTGTTTTATTTAAATGTTTACGCGAGTAGTTAAAACGCGATAAACCTAATAGTTAAACTTATTTGAAGTTAAAAATATCTTTTCAAATAAGTTTAACTAATACTTATATTGTGTTTTCAACCGTTAAAGTGTTTTATTTAAATTCAACTGACTACTTATAATTTGAAACTTTAAAATTGCTCTCCTGTAAAATTACCTATGTTATTTAAGAAACGTATCGCTTTGATATCTTTGATTTTAGCCTATAAATTGTAAAAGTAACCATACCTATAAACGTTGCCCATTTAAGTAATTGTTGAGTCTTTTCTACAATAGAGCCTTCAGGTGCGCCCACAGATTATCCTTTTAAGAATGATTCACAATAAAGCCTATTGATGGTTATTAATCCTTGTTGAAATTGTATTGCGGTTCTAACTGCTTATTCTTGCGGTTATTACACAATATTATCTTCAATTCATAGATATTTAAAGACACAATTCTTATATTAGAGTGTTTATGTAGAGTTTTGCTTTTTATTCTATATACTAGCTGCTACGGCAAAAGTTGTTTTGTTGTTTGCAAGATTAATGAGATTAGTGTTGACTCAACTCTAACAAAGTGTGTTAAGTTTATGGAAAGCTTTAACCAAATTTGATAACAATAAAAACGATTTTTGCAAGTTAATTTTAAGCCGTAGACATTTCTTTAGATCATTTAAATTTTTGTCGTAGCGTGATATATATTATAGCCTAAAGCCACCAATAAATAGTCTATCCAACACAAAATGTTCAATACGAGCTTGTAGCGCTTCTAAACAAACAAACTCATCGACGCTTCTCTAGTCTAGATTTACTTAGGTAGGTATAGACACAGATATTTTTTTAATATATTTTCTAGTTTTTAATGTAAGGTTTGTGTCATATGAATATCTCCCGTGAAATGTTAAGCAAAAAGAGATCATTGAGTAAGAAGGATTCAATTAATTACTCTTATTAAAGATAATTTTTAACGATCTTCGTGTGAACGGATTAATCTTGATAACGTTTGTTTTGCGATTTGTCTGAGGATTACAAAAATAATGTTTATAAAAGTCTAAAGATCTCATTTTGTCAAACCACGTTAAAAGTTGGATTTGTAAATGTACAATTTACTATTATCAATAAGCCTCTAAACGTATAACTACACTAGCTAGGTGAACAGACATATGACCCTAGTTTCTCAGAACGAGTTTTTTTTGCAAAAACGTTTGCAGAATAAATAATTTAAATCGTAAAAAAGTGAAAAACACAAAATAAAATAAAAATATTTTATCGAAAAATATCGGATATGAAAATAAATTTCAAACCAACACTTCATTGGTACATTGACATAACATTGATGGCATGAATGAATGCGTTCCATTTTTAAAAGCATGATAGCATAAACAATTTTGCTTTTTATAGATGGGCAAATGGTTTTGCGGCCAGCCTTTGACAGGAAGTTTATTGAAATCCCACGCGGATTAAAAAAAAAGTAAGTGGAATTATTGGAAAATTATAGGGCTATTATGAGATGAGCCGAAAGGCTTTGTTGAAAGGCCGGCTTACGGGTAATTATTACGCGAGGTGATCTGTCAATATTAGTGAACGAGTACCTGCCTGCGGTTTAATTTGAATTGTATAAGTACTTGGGTATAAAGTGTATCAAGTCATCTTAAAATTTCGTTTCTCAGTTGTTGTTTTTTATATGTACGATTTGAATAATATTTTTTGAGTCGTGAAGACGCTGTCTTGATAGAAGCGGCTAGACTTTTAGACGCTAGACGTAGAGAGAAACGGAGTCTTACTAAATTCTTTAGATTGATTTTTTCAATCACTAACGATCACTCAGAAATTACTTTTAAGCTCCTACTATAAAATTGTATTTGAATTCTCTCAATATAAATATCAAGATAGTTATATAAAATAGAAATAGCAACACAATTCGCAATAAGCGAGCTACGGACCGCATCGTATTTGACGTGCAAACACAGGGCAGCGCTCTGTTATTTAACTTAAGTAAATTTCGATGTACCAGCCCCCCTCTCTAAACCCCCACAGCCCGGTTGTTGACTGCCGGGAGTTCTATTTCGCGTTTTGATTTGTTCCTTTTAGATAATTGTCGGGTTCGGATTGAATTTGTTTTAGACTAGAAACATTACGTTTAGATTTACAGCTCAATTTAAATAATAATTAACCATTGGTTTTTTAGAACTAGAATCTTAAGGTTTGTTTTAACCGATGGGATTACTCTTATGTTATTGTCTTTCAACTATGACTACTATCAACTATGTTACAAATTGAAATTTGATATAACTATTGTTATGTAATACTTTTAAACAATGCCACCTAAAAAATAAGACAAAGACCTCCATCAAGGATATTGTCCCCCTCCCATTGTCTATGGTCACGAATATACTCTGTGCCGGATGCGACGCATGCGGGCTTAATGGCGGGAATGAAATAATGGTAGTAGCAAGTTGAAACAATGATGAGCTGTCACATTGTTGTTCATTCACCGATATCGTTATATCGGCAAGGGATGTACATGATGGCAAGCATAAGTTCAATGCGAGAAATTGCACATTTGAATTTTTATATTTTTTACTAGGAAATGCTCAATAGAGGATATTTTAATTATATTTTTAATGTATTAAAACTAAACTAAGATATAATGCGTATATTCAAAGTAACTACATGAATAGGCTACTGAATTATTAAGTTTCTTTGCTGAAATACGAAATGTATTATTATAACATCAATGGGTTTATAATTCTTTGCCCGACCTACGTAGCGACGTATTGCTCAGCCAATCTTGGTTAATAAATTGAACGGACAATGACTTGAAGTGTTCTTATTTTTTGTTTCCGCTTTTAACAAGATCAATTCTCTCTCTATCGATGCAAATCAGTATTTTTTTCTGCTACCAAGTGCTCGTATAGCCTTAAATACATATGCACCTTCTCACTCTAACCACGCACATTCTAGTTATAGAATGATTATATTTGTACTAATTATCATATGTAATTAATAGTACTTAATTAATTAATATCACGCCTGAATAACTCTAGGGTAACCTAATTAATTATGTGAATGTGATAATCGTTGAATTATCGCACCCTACTGCCATTGTCAACGTCATTTGACGTTTGTTTTGGCGCGAATTCGCATCGTAAATGGTGTTGACATCCTCAAAATGGAGATTATTCATGGATGTTTGCGGGCTTTGTTGGGGTTAGGCGGCGTTTATGAAATTTATATTGACACGGCCGAGATTATTGAGTCTTTGTTATGAAGGATTTGAATTTCGGTCGCGCGGTGTGGGAACGTGCGGCGCGTGGCTGTGACAGATATTAATAATGGTAGCCACCGACGCTGGCGGAGATTAAGTTTTAGCTGTTTTTATTTTAAGGATTAGTGACGTCACGTCGTTTGTAGAATTGTATAGACGTAAAACTAGATTCAGATAAGAAAGCACATTTTAAAAGATTACTAGTTGAACTTTCCTTTTCACATCTGTTATTCTAAATTTGTGTGCGCGTTTGTTCTTTGGAGTCAGACATTTTATGTTAGGTACAATAATTATATCTTCATCTCAGAGGCTTCAAAGCACCGCATTCTCTAATTTGAAGACACCACTCGAAATTTTCAAACAAGGAAAAATATCCAGAATCAAAGAGTCCCCTGATTTCGTAACAGAGGTGAAGCGGAAACAAGATGCCGACTTTAACGAGCTACATGAACGCATCATGTGTTGCCAACATTGGAATAAAATTATCAAGGATATAAACAAGCCAGACTATTATTCTTTTATTTGATATGATCACTTAGCCGTGACCTTATGTTATAAATATTTCTATTTACAATTTGCAGATTTTACAAATTATTCAAAGAGATCACAATTTTTAAGTTAAAATCCATATAATATTACCAATATAAAAAACAATGTTACGGATGCATAAAAATTTTATAGGTACCAACTAATTAGATGTAAATATAAGTTACTACACAGCGTATACTAGAGATAATTTATGGACAGTTGTTTAAATGTTAGTAATTTGACCAAATGTAGGTGGATTTGTTTGATATTTAAAAGTACTTGTGATATCACTGCAGACAAAAATACTTCTTTCTTCTTTCAAAAATAAACTTTACGTCTGTTGTGGGTATAGCAATAATGATTTCTACAGTTAGTTAACTTATAGGTATTTTCCAATCTATGAAGCTTTAACACTTGTAGACACGTGACTTTTATTATTTTACCATCGTCATTAGTCGCTTAACATCTCTCGCATGAGATCCTTCCGGTTGACAAGTTGCCCAGGGCATCTCGCACCCCGAAAACCAACATCGGAATAACAAACCTAGTACCGCCTCGGGGCGTCGCTCCCCCGCTATAGACGTATCGTGTCGTATTTTATCGGTGTTTTGTGTCTGTAATTGGATCGGGGTGGCCTCGGGCACTATCAAAGCGTTTGTAATTTAATTTATGTTGTCTGTCTGTTGCACGTACTCGCGGTGACAAATTGTGTGAAAACAAATGAGATGGGTTATTAGGTTTATTGTTATATGGGTGTTGACAAGATTAGATTCTTCTAAGTTTGAGATACTTTTTGTAATGTGTAAATAAGGTTACTAACAAAATGTCACTGGTAATAGAAAATCCTGTTAATATTTTATAACATTGCCGAAATAAACGATTTTCTATATTAATTACCATAAATTCTACTTAGATTGAAAATTTTTACAAGACGGGCGTGACTTGAACGAGGATCCACAGCAATTGTGCTGAGGCTCTTAGGTCCAACTGACTGTCACCGCTGCCGTATTAAATTTATTTAATTAATTTAAAAAGCCTCAGTTTTTCTGAGGTTAAGTTAAACTAAGTTCTTAAATATGGGCTTTGAGTTTCCCTGTCACATGTTCATTGCTGTTTTTATTGTTTTCGTTGAAGTTTCAGTTGTCTATTCTAGTTCTCTTCAGTATCTTGTCTATTCCTACAGGCCTAGTGACAACAATAGACAAGATACTGAAAATTATAAGAAGAGTCTAGACGTAGACTTACCTGGGTCGGTGTGAGGTGAATAAGTGACGCTAGGTGCTCCCTTTCTGGTGCTGACAGGTATTTCTGCTGCTTAAACCGCCTCTCTAACTCGTAAACCTGTGTACAAATGAATATAGATTCCAATTTACAACGGACAAGGCTGGGACCATCTACATCTACCATGCTTTTAATGCTCCTATAGCAAATAGTACGAGTCGAAAGTTACGACATAAAAGTGTCATAATTAGGGGCCTATGATCATTTATTTCACTATACCCACGCGCCTGTAATATATTCATTTTTTTTAATATACTAGAATACTAAAAATTTTTGGAGTCATGAGATAGACTATTAAAAATGTAAGAAGGAAGAATTTTTCTCGGTAACAGATAAATATTACGACCAACATTTTAAAATCTTGGTTAATATTCTTAAACTCTAGAAAAGTAACTTATCTCTCATCTAATTAAGATAATTCCTCAGCATCCTCAATCTACTTAAGGGTAGTCGTCGTCATTTTACTAAGTACGGAAATATTCAGGAGGGAAAATTAACTAAAATTCATTTACCTTAGTATATGTACCGTTGATCGTGATATATCTATGGAAGTTTATATTGTCTATGGGGCGCGGCTGAGAGGGAGAATTAAGGCGAACCGGGTAGCGCCTAACGCTTGCTAGGTACATTCGATTTGATTACTAGGATACATTGGTATGTATATCTTTATTAACATATAAGGCAATAACTAGACGATTAAATTTTATACTTTACATTTTTATCCACCTATAGTCTACCCGCCATGTTCAAACAACAATAAAATATTATCTGTGTAATTTCATGTTATGATAAATCTAACTTTATTATGGTTACGACAACTTATTGTACTAATATTACAAAAAAGGATAACGACAATAGTGTTTTATTTAATGTGTTTTGTTTGTGTTAACTTCAGTCATAAGTTAGTTTTAGCTAGAGTAGAGAGTTATATAGTTTTTCAGTTTACTCACATAGAAAACGAGTAACCAAACAAAGCAAGGAGAAATGGCAGGTTCACTGTATATTATCTAAATCTTAATATAATATTTAAAGGTGTATGTACCGCTTTCCCAAGTTTTCGGGGAAAAGGTTCGATCTTATCTTTTTCTTGCCGTTAAAAAACTATCACTGAAATAAACCCAGAAACGTTTGTGCCCCATGTCCCACATAACCAGTGGGATATTACTTTTCTACTTATATTATAGCTGTATCTAAGTGTGTCACGGCTGTAAAAGTCGTAGCAGATAATAATCGTGCAGATAATAGCCTGCTGAGGGTGAGATTATTTCAAGTTGACGCCTCCTACTGGATTTTTTTAATACCCAATACTGTTTAAACGTTACTAACAGTTGTAAGTAACCAAGTAGAGGCAAGAAGTTTATTGCCTCATATTAGAGTTCTAAAAGTGCTGTTTTAACAAAAAGTATTCCTTATTCGTTTGGAGGTTTTACGTAGAAAACGTACGTAAATAAAACGACATCACTGATTTATTGAGTGCCAACTATTTCACATATCTATTCATTCGAAATTAGTTTAGCAAGCCCCAAATATCTTCTAAGTATATTGAACGCTCAGAGCGTCTACAAATATTTTCTTACCTGTGCTTGTGTGAAAAGTACTCTCCGTTTCCGTCTCTGGGCTAAAGGAAACTGCATGGGCTTCGCGTCGGGTCCTGCGCAGGCAGCCAGACCGCCCATGTTGTTGACGTGGCCCATTCCGCCACCAGTCGACGTCATCAGCCTGGAAACTAAAGCAGCCGCTCAGGTACGCTTACATACAGTTATTTTTACTTAATGAGCCTTTTGCACTCTACCGAAATCATTATATTTCGGCTCAGTACAATTCGTGTCCTAAGTAGGTACCTATTAAGCGACGTAGGTAACTAAGTATGCATTAAGTAAATACAGTTTGTAGTTTACGCGAGTAGTACATATTTAAATAAAACACTTGAATGGTTTAAAACGCGATATATTTTAGTTAAACTTGTTTGGCCAAGGGATGACCGTGACCACGGCTGCTGCCAAGCATCCGAAACGTCGAGCCGTAGTTAAAAAAAAATTCAGACAAGTGTAACTAAAATATATCGCATTTAAACCGTTAAAGTGAAAAATCTATTTCCTTCCTAAAGGAATTTTCTTTTTTTTAATACCACTTTTTTTATTATAACTTATATAGCTTCAAATATAGAAAGTAACTTGTGCAAGAGTTTAAGTTACTGTCGTATTTTTTACGTTTGATTTTAGATTAATCAGAGGTATATTATACGAATGACACAAAATCTACGATTCTCCCCATGTAACTTGTAGTAGGTATTAATATGTACAAAGTCCGTACTTTCTTATAATAAAATATACGCATTTTGCAAGAGCGAAGCAAAAAGAGTCATAATTATGCTCACATTTTCAACTTTCAGTAAAATTAAAAAATACCGTATAATTAAACGCTATCCTAGTCATTGGAAAATGAAAAAAATAATTACCACGGGCGGATGAAATTAAATATTGTCGCGATGGCAACATTTAAATGCAGTTCGTACCATTTTTTATAATGACACTAGACTGTTTCTGCCATTTCTGTGATTATTCTTATTAAATGTGTACTTCAGGGATAAGTACTTTAATAAGGTATTTGTTCTGATGAATAATAAGTCTTTTATATATGAAACGGAGAAAGATTAAAATTTTCTGAAAATACCTTTTTAGGCAGATCAATTAATTTTAAAGCTTGTAATTAAACTACGTACGCGGGCGCAAAAGTTATATAATAATTCAATTATGTGTCCATTTTAAAACGATTCGTAAATCCTTAAAACTCCCATACAATCCTATTTGCTTAACGGATCTAACATTATTTTATTGTAACGTCGAAACCCGCACAGCAGCAATATTCCACACACATTATGCTCCGTCGAATTCAACGTTCATTCTATTTACACAACACTCAAGCATCGAAAAGGGTCTTTTCAATAAAATATAACTCCATTCTTTCTTACGTCATTGTCCGTCTGTTTTGCCTCTATAGAATGTTATCTGTGCATCAAAGTTTTTAGTCTGTAGGACGAAACGTCAATGAAGCGGAGCACATTTTCGTATCGTTCTTTTTTAATAGCTATTTAATTGAAATCTGTGGATGCTCGGTTTAATGATACGTGAACAGATGTTTACAAACATTTTAATTTGGGATATAGATTATATTTAAAGAGCTATTTTAGAATGATCATATCGACACTTCAACGGATCAAAATAATATAACTTAAAGTTTTAAGGTCTTTCTTGTTTACAATTATTTAAATCTTTTCATGTCAATGAAACAATTTTAAATCCAATACGTTTTTGTTTTAGGCTCTACGTCAAAATAAAAAACACTTTATATATATGCAATTTAGTGTCGTTTTCGAGAATGGTACAATTTTTTTATCTGTCATTGTAATTATTTTTATTAATTGTACCTATAGTTGACCTTAAAACTAGTACTATCTACTCGTAAAAACGGAATATTTTAAGGTTATTATTAAGCAAATTCACCACTTTCATCATCGCATGTTGAGGACAGTTCGGGTCCGATCTTGTTTTCATAACAAATAGCGAAATAATTGAAATGGGGCTTCGGACAGCGACACCCCAAAAGCATTCACTCGGGAATTTCTAAAGATATCTTCGTAAACTCCACGGATCCTATTTATCTACATCGCTTGGATTATATTTAAATTATTTACATTAAAAAGTACAGATTAACCCAACACACATTCAGTTTGTAGATAAAGGTTATTTTATTGTTTAATTTATTAAATGACGTTCACTAAAAGAAACTTTGTATAACTATATTTTTAATATAAGTATATTACGTAGGTACTTATTACTTTTTTTGTCAGTGAAAAGTAACTATTTTTTTTATGCCTAAGTTTTATAACTCTTTTGAAAAATAATACGTGAATACTCAAATTTACATACTCATATATTTACTGAAAACAATTGGCGAAGAGTCGAGACCGGAAAGGAATTTAGATATTTCTCCGATCATTTTTATAAGTGCATTAAGTTCTAGGCGTCCACTTGTTTATAACATCTAAATATGCTTTGCATACTTGCTAAACACGGTGGGATTCGAACCCATATGCTGTCGGTTAAAAACCACAGGTAGGTACATTCTATTATTTGACCAACGACCCGAAAGCATATTCCTAACTATAACATTAAGTATATTTTGTTCCTAAGCCCATAATGATTATCATAGGGCAGTAAGTCACGTCAGACACACTGGCGAAATGCCCCCAGCCCAAACTGACCAATTTCACGCCAATTGGTCACTCCCGCTCATCAAACGCACTCCGGGGTGTGATGCGGACCCTCGCCATTCGCCGATCTTCCTTCACAAAATTGATTTTTACTTAATAATCTTTGTTATAGCAATCAGTAAGGTTTTAGGTATCTAGTGCGAAAAATGATTTAGCTATTGTAGCAGATTTATTTGCATTGCTAAAGCCACAACATTGTGCACTTAGGATGACAGGTTGATGGCTCATCTTGTTTATATGGCTGAGGTTCATCAAATGATCCCATGCTTATCTGTCATTCTATGCAAAAAAAATGTTTAGCGTACTTTAGTTGATCATTATTAATTACTAGCTGTGCCAGCGACTTCGTCCGCGAGAAACATTATTTTGGGCATCCAAATTAGACTATTAGACCATTTGAAAACCCCGTCCTCTTTATAAACTTAGCTGTTAGCCATGACGTCAATCGCGTCTCTTCCCGTTGTTCTTACAAGTTAACCTTAAAAGATTGACATAGCGTCGCGGAATTTTTTTTTAGATCATTTAAAGAGAAGTCATTCTTTCGTACACATTTGTTATGTATCTTGAACCGTTTTCGCAGCGTACCTACACATCTGAAACCCACAGAGGTGAAAATTTCCCCCCCGTTTTGTTTACATTTCCCGCTGTATCTATTAGTCACAGTGCGATGGTTTTTGCTTTTGGCCTAAAGCCTTCCTCCATAAATGATATAACAACAAACAACACAAAAAGAAAAAAAATCTACTCGGACAGGACTTGAACCGGCATCGTCAGCGTTCCGTGTTGTTGCTCTAAATTGTATAGTGCCTTCATGTGCATGTAAAAAATAATAAAGTTTTCAAACAAAACAAAAAGATATGTTTCAATTCGAACCCGTAATTCCTAAGATTAGCGCGTTCAAACAAACAAACTCTTCAGCTTTGTATATTAGTATAGATAATATAGATAGTAGTATCTTTAGTACTTTTTCAGACTATTAAAAAAAGTTTTCACATTTTAACCGCTTATATTATTTTAACTGTGGATTTGTATTCTTAAATTTTACTGTTTAGATATCGTAAATGATTGTTGCAATTATTGATAATATTAAAAAAGTCATATTCAAAATACTGTTTTGTATCTTGATTATACCCGATAAGTGTTTTGATTCGTGAGATATAGCTAATTGTGGCGAAACTCGTCAAGTACCACACGGACCCAATATTGTACCAATATAGCCACTTGAACGCGATAACTATGACTCCCGGCGTCACGCTGGCAATATTGACCTTCTTCTAATGGCTGTCGGAAACCTGTCAGCTGTTTCAGATGTCATTAATACATTCGATGCCGAGACGTATACGATTACAGATTCCCACTAAATACCAGAGACAATAATTTTTCTTCTAGGTAGTTTACATATATTATTTAATCTCAATTATTGAACTAAAATTTTATAAAGTACCTAATTTGTAATGGTATCTTCGTCTCAGGGTATATACCTTTTATTGAAACGCTTTGAAATGTAAATAAGTATGTTTTTGTAATATTTTTGGACGGTCACGGTTACTTTATTAAATGTCAGGTTTGAATTTCACTATATCTATTTTATTTCTTACTTTTTCTGTATTTTATTATTTTTTCTCTACATGCATAGTATATATTACCCGCGCTATTTTTGAAACCTAGATCACAAAAGTCTTACCTACTTTGTTTCAGCGCTAGAACGTAATTCCGTTACTGTACATACTGATAAATCTTTACCCATTAGGTTTATCTCCGTCGGTTAAAATATTTACATTACATACGAGATAATTTGTTAGATATGCAATTGCTTATAAAAATAACATCAATTGCCCCCACAGACCGCATAGACCGGGTGTGACCCGCCGGGGGAGTGAAACACAATGCAGCTATTATTTCCCAATGTTTGCACACGCACAATTTGCCACGTTACTGGCAACATTCGCGCACATTATCGTGGGGTATATTTTAATACGATTAGGAACACTTTTATCGTTTCGTTTTGCAAAGTAAACATCCGATTTTATGCGTAGCTACTTTTATAAACAAATAAAATTAAATAAGACTATTTTCTTGAAAATAACACTATAAATCCCCACTGCCGTATATTTTTCAATTGTATCTTTGTTAGATACTAGCCGTATTTAATAAGTATAATTCAATGTATTCAATATTAATCAATGTATCATTAACTAATTAAATAACAATTACATCTGTAAATTATATAAATAATTATCCTGCTAACACTAGTTGCGCCTGTTGTTTTGAACGTAAGTTATTAGGCATTCTACCCTAATTTGTTGTGCCAGAGTCGGAAATTGTAAATATTTCAAATTAAATATCTGCCCAAATCACCATCTACTATCCCTTTTTATATATATTAATATTTTTAATGCACAATCTAATGAAGCGATTTTGATATTGAAACAACTTTCCACT